TTAAGGAAGAAACGAGGCAGTAATTTCATGCACTGGTCAGGGAGGTATACCATCTTTTAGGAGTGAAGAAGAGCAGAATGTAAGTGTGGGGGAGGTACGTGAGGCATTACGTAAAATGAAAGGGGTAAAGCAGCTGGAACTGATGGGATCATGACAGAAATGTTAAAAGCGGGGGGGGATATAGTGTTGGAGTGGTTGGTACTTTTGTTTAATAAATGTATGAAAGAGGGGAAGGTACCTAGGGATTGGCAGAGAGCATGTATAGTCCCTTTTATATAAGGGAAAGGGGACAAAAGAGACTGTAAAAATTAATAGAGGAATAAGCTTACTGAGTATACCAGGAAAAGTGTACGGTAGGGTTATAATTGAAAGAATTAGAGGTAAGACAGAATGTAGGATTGCGGATGAGCAAGGAGGTTTTAGAGTGGGTAGGGATGTGTAGATCAGGTGTTTACATTGAAGCATATATGTGAACAGTATTTAGATAAAGATAGGGAGGTTTTTATTGCATTTATGGATTTAGAAAAGGCATATGATAGAGTGGATAGAGGAGCAATGTGGCAGATGTTGCAAGTATATGGAATAGGTGGTAAGTTATTAAATGCTGTAAAGAGTTTTTATGAGGATAGTGAGGCTCAGGTTAGGGTGTGTAGAAGAGAGGGAGACTACTTCCCGGTAAAAGTAGGTCTTAGACAGGGATGTGTAATGTCACCATGGTTGTTTAATATATTTATAGATGGGGTTGTAAAGGAAGTAAATGCTAGGGTGTTTGGGAGAGGGGTGGGATTAAATTATGGGGAATCAAATTCAAATGGGAATTGACACAGTTACTTTTTGCTGATGATACTGTGCTTATGGGAGATTCTAAAGAAAAATTGCAAAGGTTAGTGGATGAGTTTGGGAATGTGTGTAAAGGTAGAAAGTTGAAAGTGAACATAGAAAAGAGTAAGGTGATGAGGGTGTCAAATGATTTAGATAAAGAAAAATTGGATATCAAATTGGGGAGGAGGAGTATGGAAGAAGTGAATGTTTTCAGATACTTGGGAGTTGACGTGTCGGCGGATGGATTTATGAAGGATGAGGTTAATCATAGAATTGATGAGGGAAAAAAGGTGAGTGGTGCGTTGAGGTATATGTGGAGTCAAAAACGTTATCTATGGAGGCAAAGAAGGGAATGTATGAAAGTATAGTAGTACCAACACTCTTATAAGGGGTGTGAAGCTTGGGTGGTAAATGCAGCAGCAAGGAGACGGTTGGAGGCAGCGGAGATGTCCTGTCTAAGGGCAATGTGTGGTGTAAATATTATGCAAAAATTCGGAGTGTGGAAATTAGGAGAAGGTGTGGAGTTAATAAAAGTATTAGTCAGAGGGCAGAAGAGGGGTTGTTGAGGTGGTTTGGTCATTTAGAGAGAATGGATCACAGTAGAATGACATGGAAAGCATATAAATCTATAGGGGAAGGAAGGCGGGGTAGGGGTCGTCCTCGAAAGGGTTGGAGAGAGGGGGTAAAGGAGGTTTTGTGGTAAGGGGCTTGGATTTCCAGCAAGCGTGCGTGAGCGTGTTAGATAGGAGTGAATGGAGACGAATGGTACTTGGGACCTGACATCTGTTGGAGTGTGAGCAGGGTAATATTTAGTGAAGGGATTCAGGAAACCGGTTATTTTCATATAGTCGGACTTGAGTCCTGGAAATGGGAAGTACAATGCCTGCACTTTAAAGGAGGGGTTTGGGATATTGCAGTTTGGAGGGATATGTTGTGTATCTTTATATGTGTATGCTTCTAGACTGTTGTATTCTGAGCACCTCTGCAAAAACAGTGATAATGTGCGAGTGTGGTGAAAGTGTTGAATGATGAGAAAGTATTTTTCTTTTTGGGGATTTTCTTTCTTTTTTGGGTCACCCTGCCTCGGTGGGAGACGGCCGACTTGTTGAAAAAAAAAAAAAAAAAAAAAAAAAAAAAAAAACAACATAATTGAAAGAAGGAAATTGTACAAAAATACGAGGGAGTGGTTGACACATCGTCAGTGTGACTTTGTTTATGCTGGAGTGAAACATTAGTCTCCCTGCTCTTCCAAACATTTCACAATAATTCAGAGGTTGAGGCAGTGGTATTTAATAACATATATGTTATAAATAATAATAGTACATGTTATTATTAATAACATGTATTATTATTAACATGTATGTATTTAATAACACATGTTATAAATAATAATAGTACATATTATTAATAACATGTATTATTATTAACATGTATGTTATTAAATACCATTGCCTCAATCACTGCCTCTACCACTCCAGTCACACTCAATCTACAAGCACCAAACACAATGAATTATTGTGAAATGTTTGGAAGAGCAAGGAGACTAATGTTCACTCCAGCATAAACAAAGTCACACTGACTGTGTCAACCACTCCCTCGTATTTTTGTACAATTTCCTTCTTCAATTATATCATATTATTATTATTATTATTATTATTATTATATTATTATTATTACATTGTTATTATTAGCTGTAGCAGAAATGTTTAATTTCTTTGCAGTGTTCAAGAGTAAACACATGATGTCACCGTCTAATACCTGTCTGAATGGCCATTCCAATATGCAGTCATGAATGGGTTTACATTATTTATACTGTAGTTTAATAGCAAATAATGAACAAACAAAACACTCACCACACTGAGTGGTGGGAGGGCTGGCTGCCAGTTGCGGGGGTCGGAGGGAGGGTAGTAGGGACTCGCAGGTGGCGGGAAACTTAAATATGATTTGGTGGCTGGGAATTTGGTGGCTGGGAATTTAGCGGTTGGGAATTCGCGAATGTGTGAAGCCCGTGAAAATTGAAAACGTGAATGTTGAGGGAGACCTGTAATTGTTTTACATGATGGTAGGATTGTTGGTGTCTTTTGTCTGTCTCATAAACATGCAAGATTTCAGGTATGTCTTGCTACTCCTACTTACACTTAGGTCACACTACACATACATGTACAAGTATATATATATACACCCCTCTGGGTTTTCATCTATTTTCTTTCTAGTTCTTGTTCTTGTTTATTTCCTCTTCTCTCCATGGGGAGTGGAATAGAATTCTTCCTCCGTAAGCCATGCGTGTTGTAAGAGGTGACTAAAATGCCAGGAGCAAGGGGCTAGTAACCCCTTCTCCCGTATAAATTACTAAATTTAAGAGAAACTTTCGTTTTTCTTTTTTGGGCCACCCTGCCTTGGTGGGATACGGCCGGTGTGTTGAAAGAAGAAAGAAAAAGGAGAAACTTTTGTTTTTCCTTTTGGGCCACCCCGCCTCGGTGGGATACGGCTGGTGTGTTGAAAGAAAGAAGAATACTTAAACTTCACTACCATACAGTCTTGATGTTATGGTCTACAAGTCCAAAAGATCTCTTTTAATGTATCTGTCTCACAGTGCCTATCAGTACCCCATCAACTTATGTATTATGGATTTTTGCCTCTTTTTATTAACAGTATATTCACACTCTGTCTTACATGATGGTAGAATTGCTGGTGTCTTTTTTTGTCTCATAAACATGCAAGATTTCTGGTATGTCTTGCTACTTCTACTTACAATTAGGTCACACTACACTTGCATGTACAGTATACAAGCATATATACAAACACCCCTCTGGGTTTTCTTCTATTTTCTTGTTAGCTCTTGTTCTTGTTTATTTCTTCTTATCTCCATGGGGAAGTGGAATAGAATTCTTCCTCTGTAAGCCATGCGTGTCGTAAGAGGTGACTAAAATGCCAGGAGCAAAGGGCTAGTAACCCCTTTTCCTGTATACATGACTAAAGTTAAAGAGAAACTTTTCTTTTTCTTTTTGGGCCACCCTGCTCGTTTGTTGAAAGAAGAAGATTTACACTATGGAAAACCATAATGCCACACTTGGAGAAGCATTATAAAACTTGCTTATGATGGCATTCACAATGTCAACCTGAACATCTAACTTTTAACCATGGTTCACAAGCTATCTCCAGGAACTAATGTTGATACCACTCTACATTGTTTCCTTAAAATAACTATACTGAAAACAAAATCTTCCAAGTATTTGAATACATTTACACAAGAAGAACTAAGATGAGAAATACAACATCAATCATAGCAAGTCACTTACCTGGTACCATATCAATACGGCGGCTAGTAAGGTAAACTGTAGTACTGCGATTTTGTGCTTCCTTGTCTAGGGCAGTGTTGGGCCGAATGAAATGAGATACATCTGCAATGTGGACCCCAACCTACAACATAACAAGATTATGAATGTCCATGAAGAAAAGTGCATAAATGACAAAAATTATATCATGAGTAACAGTACTAGTCACAACAATACCAACAAACTGAGGAATAAAAATGCATAGGAAACATGGAAGATATTTTATTTGAAGACTTAGCGGCTTTATCAATCCAATACAAAGAACAGAACATATAAATATTTGAAAAATGTGGTCATATTACACTTCAAACAACTGTGAGCTGCAAATCCCATGGGTTCTAAGAAAGAACCCGATGATGACGCTTCTCTCAGTGCAAGTGTCGTCATGTGAGAAAAAATATGATAGCTTGTCCTTGTTTGTGAAGGTAAGTTTATCACTGTCTCTGCTTAGGATATCTAAGAATAGGAATTTAATGTCACTTTTCTTCTCAAGGAACAGCTCCACACTAATGTTTTTGGTCAATAGTGTCAATTTTGAGTCTTCAAGGATAAATAACCAAAATGTTGTCTACACAATGCAGCCATGTTACATATACTACAGGGCATGAAGGGTTTTACAAGTTCTGATTAAACATGCTCCATATGAAGATTAGCTAACAGCACTGATATAGGAGCTCGTGTCCATCCTAAAACAATGTCTATACTTATTTTGACATCACTACTCCTTTCACTAACTTACCCACCACTCGTCATCCTATTTTCCTTTGGAAAATAAGTATAGTTGCAAAAGCAATTATAATTTATGCACTGAGCAATGAGGTCAACAAAATCTGTTTGGTAACTCTCACTGTCAGGGTCTTTGCCACACATTACTGCAACTGCTTGAGTAATGGGTAAGCAAGTGAAGAAAGCAGTGATGAGTGGTGGGTAAGTTAGTGAAAAGAGCATTGATGTCAAAACTTGCTAGCTTGTTATTCCTAATATTAATGGCCTTAATTCAATTTATGAGATCCATCAAGTGCTTGAGATGAGACTGGCTGATGGTTTCTAAAAGTTTGGCAAGCAGACTCACGGGCCAGTGAAGGGCACTGCCTATTCCTGGTTGACTATCATCTGGCATTGTGATGTTAAACCACTTACTTTTTGTGACTAAATCACACATTCCTTATGACTACATCACATTGTTTATTGCTAAACCACATTTTGTGGCTAAATTATGTGTTCCTTGCAACTAAATCACATTATTTGTGGCTAAATTACATTTTTGGTGGCTAAAATACACACTCTTTGTTGCTAAGCAGGCAGTTCTTTATTGCTAAGTATGCAGTTCTTTGTTGTTAAGCATAATGTTCTTTGTTACTAAGCAGGCATTTCTATGTTGCTAAGCAGGCAATTCTATGTTGCTAAGCAGGCAATTCTTTGTTGCTAAGTATGAAGTTCTCTGTTGCTAAGCAGAATGTTCTTTGTTGCTAAGCAGGAAGTTCTATTGCTTAACTACACATTTTTTGAGGCTAAACCTCACATCCTGTCACTACACGATAATTTTTTGTCACTAAATCATAAGTTCTTTGTGGGTAAACCACACATTCTGTTGTTAAATCACCTTTATTGTTGCTGCTAAACCCACATTCTGTTACTAAATCATATATTCTGTTTAGCCAAACTATATGTTTTCTGTTGCACATTTTGTTAACACAAGACACAACAAAATAAACTGATGTAATGTTAGGAATGATACCGACCTCATAATTACCATTCGAAAGTTTCCGACAGTGGAGTGCATCGTCAATGTCTGTACATCCAATGGGATCAACAGAACAGACATCCAAATGACGCAAATCTTCACGTTTGGCCTCATCCTAAAAATATTAAATACGTACATTTGTTAATATAGTAGTCTCTTAAGTTACAATATTAATCCGTTCCAGAAGACCTATCATGTCTCCAAAATATCGTAACTCAACCCCAAAATATATAGTTTTATGGTAATTCATTCCAAGACACCAGAACACACCCAACCTGCCTCTGGGTACTTTTTGTTGTTTAAACACACTGGGGTTTTCTGAGTGACAAGAAGCATAAGCTGCAGCTTAAAATATCTAAATTAAGACTTGAGATTTATTGTGCTGTCAGGGTGAATAAATTTTTGGTAGAAAAGCATCACATTTACCAATATATAAGTGATATTATATTTAATGAGATGAATAATATATGAGTGAATAATATCTGAGTGCCTACTTTTGGTCACTATAGTAATATTATTCACCCTTTAAATACTGATCAAATCTCCATCATGAAAATACACAGAAAGGTAAAATGTAGCTTTTAAGGTGATAAATCTGAATATAAGAAAAGTTTAGTACATTCCAATTACATGTGACTGTTCTAAAGGATAACTATGGAATGAGTGATAATACACATGCTTCATTCTTTGGAAGGATGTACATGCTTCTTCAAACTTTTCACTGTCTCCTATGTACATCTACATCACTGTTGCCAGTGTTGCTCACACAGATCTACGTTTCAAGCACAGCTCCCTCAAATATACTGTGAGCAGTAAATTTTTGCCTAGACATAAGAGAATGCATCTGTGCAGTGAGTGTGCATAGTATAAAAAATCCTACCCCCATGCAAAGCATGACAGGAAAAGCAAACCTTGTGTTTGGTTTAAAATAGCAACTAAGGTGTTTTATAGGGTGGTTTTTGTGGTTTTACTGGCTGTTTCTTGGTATCAGTTAATAGAACAGAAAACATACTAGTGAAATAAAGTTGATTTTGGTTGGTTTCAGACCAAAAGTAGCTTGAAATAAGATTCAAAATGACAGAAATATTAAATTTTTGGAGATTTTCGAGGAAGGGCGGGGCTCCCTAGTCCCCCAGCCTTTTTTTTTTTTGCTAGGTCTGCTTCAATTACTGGGATGGCCTAAACCATGACCAATCATTTTTTATCATATTTTGTTATTATCTGAGAAATAGGGTAAAACGTCGACTTTTGTGTGATGATGGATTCGAAATGGAGAGCAAGTGTAATACAGGAGAGGCCTAGGAACATGAGTAATGAAGAGAGGGAAGGTTGCTTTTGCAACTGCAATGCCTACATGGTTTATTTTGGACTCTTGTTTTTAAATTAGAATTTCTTAAATTTTGTTTAAAACTGACCAAATTACCAACTACTGTGCCCATTATAGGGTAGCTCTGATAGTTGCATGGGTATTCTTGTGTTCAGTCAATAAAAGGGAAGGCATACTAGTGAAATAGCTAGAAATTGGGTTGAACTGAGCATTGGAATTGGCAATTTACACACTGGTGGGCAATACCACCTATGTGTAAATTGCATCCAGACTGCCAACTCTGTGTTCACTTAATTCCATAAGTATTTTAGGTTGTTATTACCCTCAGGAAAAGATTCTCTACCATTTCAGAAGCTAAAATTATTTTATATATTTTTAGAAATCACAATGCTGTCAGCATTTTAATTTTGGGGCACAACAGCGAAGGGGTTAATGCCTTGCTAAAAACATTTTTTTTTTTTTTTTTAATATTAAGAGTAACTAACCTTTGGTGTGATTACCCATGGCATCTTTGGAAGGCAATTTAGAACTGATTCAGAGAACTTGGTATATGGACAGTCATGCTCTAAGAGAATCACTTCGTTTTCTGCCTCTTTGTCTCCAACCATTCCAATCACGCGGACAAAATGACCCTGCAAAATATTTATAATTTTTAAATTTATTTTGGTATTTCTTATTCCAAAAGTTATGGCCCTCTACTTCATTAATGATTTTTTCACTACAAATACGTATATTGAAAAAAAATATGGTTATTATGTGATGAAGTAATGTTAAGTACTCTGCTGCTGCATGTCCACATTATGTATATTTCTGGTGCTGCTATTATCTGTTAAATCTGTTAATGGTTCTGAGACTGCCCTTGTAGTCCAATCTCAGACCAAACTTTTTAAATGAAAATGTAAAATTACAACACTAAAAATCATTAAGAAACATACAGGAACCGATAAAAATATATTTAATGCACAAAGAAGTTTGCAAAATTTACCTGTCATCTTACAAGCTCATGAGACAGAAAGAAAACACCAGGAGATCTACAAGAATGCAAAACATTTAACAGGTTTATATTACACACTTGTATAACTGAACTTCAGTACCTTCCTGAATGGTTGCTGGCTTTTATCCTACTACCTAAGCATATCCATAAGGTGTACATCATGTACAGAACACTACTTTTATCTATTTTCTGATATATCTCACAAATCTATGTATTCAATTAGAGCTCTGGGTAAGGTAAAAGAATTTTTTTAAAACTAGATATGATATTTGTTTACCTTGGGGTTCCTTGAATCTCTAGGCCAAGAATCAATGGCCACAATCACTCTCTTGTCATACAACATTTCAGGCTGCCTAGTTTCAATACGAATGAATGGAATTTTCTTATCAGCTGGGATGAACAAGTGTCGTAGTGACTGAAAAGATAAAAATGATCTATTATGAGGCCATATACTCACAATAATAATAATCATAAAATAATAATTAATAATAGATTAATATTTATTAATCAGCCGATCACAGTACAATATGGAAAGATTACTGCTACAATACAGGCCAGATCCTTGGAGCAACAAGATTATGAGAAACTTTACAAACAGATTTCAGTACAGTTTTCCAATGGGAGTATGAGTATTTATGTGAAGAACATACTGTATTTCAAAACAAGTACACTCTAACTTTACCAATACAGTGGACCCCCGGTTCACGTTATTAATCTGTTCCTGAGATCTCATCGTAAAGCAAAATTATCAGAAAGCGAATCAATTTTCCCCATAAGAAATAATGGAAATCAAATTAATTCGTGCAAGACACCCAAAAGTATGAAAAAAAAAAACTTTTGCCACATGAAATATTAAGTTTAATGCAATAGAATAATTACAATAACAATAGAATAATCACAATAGAATAATTGACACTTACCTTTAACCCTTAAACGGTCCAAACAAATCGACGTTTAAATTCGTAGTGCTCCAAAAGTAGATCTACGTTTTTTTTACATATTTTCAAAAATAACAAAAAAAAAAAAATGTAGATAAAAGTTTTTTTGCACATTTTTAAATGTAAAACAAGAAAGAAGATCTACATTTTTTTACATACTTTCAAATGTTGAAAAAACGTATATATACGTTTGGACCATTTAAGGGTTAATGAAGATCTGGTGATGATTGATGGGATGGGAGGAGGGGAGAGTGCCGAAGTTTTTAATGTTTAGAAGGGGAATCGCTGTTTTGTAATCACAGTTGCACCTTTTGCAAGAACAGCTTCCTTGATTGCCGTTTTCCTGCTCACTATAGTAGAGATGGTTGATTGGGATTTACTATACAACTTGGCCAGGTCCGACACACGCACTCCACTTTCATACTTTGCAATTATCTCTTTCTTCATTTCAATAGTCATTAGCACCCTTGGTCTCGATGGGTTGGCACTAGAAGCTTTCTTGGGGCCCATGGTGACTTATTTTGCAGAAACAAGCACCAAAAACAGTGATAATATGGAATGTACCAAATATATCCTTAGATGCGCGCGCACTGGCTGGCTTGTAAACACTGGCACACACGGGGCAGTTCAGGCCACACGTGGACACGTCTCGTACAAATCGTATTGCACACCGGGTTTTGTAACGGGAACCGAGGCAAATTTTTTTGCGATATAATGCTTTTGATACCGGATTTATCGGATCCCGATGACTTCGCGAACCGGGGGTCCACTGTATTTGTTTATATATTTTGATTTAATTTTAAGCAATCCGAGATACAGGGAGCAAGAGACTTGATCATGTGAGTGCATGGAGTGACGGATGTTTCCTTTTTTTTTTTTTTTTTTTTTTTTACACAATGGCCATTTTTTTCACTCTATCAGTAGAATGACATGGAAAGCATATAAATCTATAGGGGAAGGAAGGCGGGAGTAGGGTACGTCCTCGAAAGGGTTGGAGATAGGGGTAAAGGAGGTTTTGTGGAGTAAGGCTATGGGATTAGCAAGCATCTTGAGCGGTTAATCACGATGCAATGAAAATGGTACTTGGATCTGACGATCTTTGGATTGACAGGGTAATATTTAGTGAGGGATTCAGGACAACCGGTTATTTATCTATAGATCGATCTGATCCATGGAAAATGGAAGTACACATAGCCTGCACTTTAAAGGAGGGGTTTGGATATGGCAGTTTGGAGAAACTTTGTGTATCTTTAATTTTATGCTTCTAATCTTTTGTATTCTGGCACCCTGCAAAACAGTGATAATGTGCGAGTAGTGGAGAAAGTGTGAATGAATGATGAAAGATCGTGGGATTTTCTTTCTTTTTTGGTCACCCTGTCTCGTGAACGGCCTACTTGTTTGAAAAAAAAATAATAAAAATAATCATTGTCTTGCTCGAGGCATGCTGTTACTACAGTTTAGATGCTGATGTCATATTGTACATATATATCAGTAACATACACTTGGCAATTTCAATTACTGTACACCACCTTCAAAGACTTTATTGATATTTATGTAAACAACTAACCAATTTATAATTGAAAACCAATGGGGTTAGCAACATCTTTCTCAATCACACTGCAATCAAATTGATTTATTTGTATATATACGTACTTATAATGGATTCTTATCGGAGTTTCGGTCAAGAAACTCAGCACATTACATATAGAATTGATCCTATGAAGCATGATCCACTTCCATGGGGAAGTGGAACAGAATTCTTCCTCCATAAGCCATGCGGATCGTAAGAGGCTACTAAAATATTGGGAGCAAGGGGCTAGCAACTCTTTCTCCTGTATACCTTACTAAATTTAAAAAAAGAGAAACTTTCATTCTTCTTTTCAGGTCTGCCTGCACATGTCAAAGCCAGTCATAGCATGAGCCAGTTCAAGAAGAGAGCCAGAAGGTGCCTAATGAATGTAGTGACAGAAAGGGAGAACTATTTTTTATTTTTTTAGTTAACACACATGTAAATACAAATAACTCACTTTACCTTATTCCTAGTATAACTCATTTATAGTATAATAATAAGATATTATCTCCTTTATAGTATAATAATAAGGTATCAAAAGGACCCTAATGGAAATAAGTCACTTTGTTTTAGGTTCTCTACACATATGTTGCTATGTATGATAATCTATGTAACTGTATTTGTGTATACCTGAATAAACTTACTTATTTACTTACCCTACCTCGGTGGGATATGGCCAGTTTGTTGAAAAAAAAAAATGCTACTTACAATGATTTTTGAAGAGTTTATTCAGTAAGGTCAATTTTTTTTTTTAACAAGTTGGCTGTCTCCCACCGAGGCAGGGTGACCCAAAAAGAAAGAAAATCCCCAAAAAGAAAATACTTTCATCATCATTCAACACTTTCACCTCACTCACACATAATCACTGTTTTTGCAGAGGTGCTCAGAACACAACAGTTTAGAAGAATATAATTATAAAGATACACAACATATCCCTCTAAACTGCCAATATCCCAAACCCCTCCTTTAACCCTTTCAGGGTCCGTGCCGTAGATCTACGGCTTTACGTTCAGGGTTCAAACCATAGATCTACGCCATGAGCTCAGCTCACTCTGATAAGCTGTGAGTGGTAAACTTGGGCCTAGATATGAGAGAATACATTTATGTGGTATGTGTGCACCACATAAAACAAATCCTGCAGCACACAGTGTATAATGAGAGAAAAAACTTGAGACCGTGATTTTCGATTAAAACAGCGACTTTGCAGTGTTTTTTTGTATGTTTTTTATGGTTGTATTTGCGATTTCTTGGTCTCATTTGATAGGCTGGAAGACATATTACAGAAATAGAGATGATTTTGATTGGTTTTAGCACTGGAAATGGCTTGAAACTGAGCTCAAATTAGAGGAAATGTTAAATTTTTGCCGATGTTCAAGAGTAAACAAACAACCTCACACGTCTAATACACGCCAGCATGTGGGTCTAATATACATTCACAAATGTGGTGATGATATTTATACAATTATTACAATATTGCATAACAGTAAATCTTCTATTTTTTGGTTTGAATAAAAATTCATTATGTGAATAAAAAATAAAAATGGAATTCATTTGTAAAGCCTCAAAACATAGCTAATGAACAGAGGAAATGTTAGTTTAGTGCCAGGAATACCTGCATTGTTTATTCTGGACCCTATTTTGAAATTGGAATATTTTGAACTTTGTGTTAAATTGGCCAAATTACCAATTTCCGACCACTTTATTTTGTAGTTGGAATAGTTGACTTGGCAATTTCTTGTGCTCAATCGATAGAATAGACGTAATACTAGTGAAATATCTAAGAATTTGGTCGACTGGAATAATGTAATTGGCCTAAAATGGGAGTCAAAGTCGGCAAAATCACCGATTCGTAAATATCACTGACACATCAAAATTCGCGAGAACATAATTTTGTCAATTTTCCATCAAATTTCATACTTTTTGTTTTATTACCTTCAGAAAAAGATTCTCTACCATTTCATAAGAAAAAATAAATTTTTTTTTTTTTTTTAAATACTTGGACCCTGGTGCGCACTTTGAAATTTGGCCTCTGGACCCTGAAAGGGTAAAGTGCAGGCATTGTACTTCCTATTTCCAGGACTCAAGTCCGGCTATATAAAATAACCGGTTTCACTAAATATTACCCTGCTCACACTCCAACAGCTCGTCAGGTCCCAAATACCATTAGTCTCCATTCACTCCTATCTAACACGCTCATACATGCTTGCTGGAAGTCCAAGCCCCTCGTCCACAAAACCTCCTTTACCCCCTCCCTCCAACCCTTTCGAAGATGACCCCTACCCCGCCTTCCTTTCCCTACAGATTTATATGCTCTCCATGTCATTCTACTTTGATCCATTCTCTCTAAATGACCAAACCACCGCAACAATAACAAATGAGTTACATAGTATTAACTTGATTAAAAAAAAATCTGTTTTACTCAAAGACTTCATGCTTTTTTTTCACATACAACAAAACAAAACTAATACACACTCTACAAGGCAGTGTACTTACATCAGTAATTTCATTCTTTTTAATAATACCACAGTACTGTCGCCATTTGCGCCTGATTATGCCAACAACACATCCTGTTGGCTGACGTTCTCCTTCTCCACGTCCAGAAGCTAAGAGAGCCTGCTCCTCTTTTAGGGTGGTTTCATCAGCATCTTCATCTTCACTACATCCTGTAAATATTTAATAACATTTATTTACCTAAAATATAATCAACTAAGAGATAACTCAATAAGTATAAAGGGACCAAGACTTTTCAACACCCTCCCTTCATACATAAGGGAAATTACCTTCAGACCCCTGGATTGGTTCCTGAAGTTAGTTCCCGACCAGTTGGGCTAGGTGGACTCCATGTGGCTAACACCAGCAGCCTGACTGATCACTCTATCAACCACAAGGCTTGGTCTGGGAATGGACTGCAAGGGCAGTGATCCCAGGAATATTCTTCAAATGACCTTCAGGCTCCGGACAGAGCCTTGTTTGAATCCAATGGTCTGTTAATTTGATTTCTTTTGTATACCTCTGTATGATTACTTCTACTTTGTGCCTCTATTTCTTACTTTAACCCTTAAACTGTCCAAGAGATCTATGTTCACATGCATAGTGCTCCAAAAGTAGATCTACGTTTTTTTACATATTTTCAAATATAACAAAAAAAAAAGTAGATCAAAGTTTTTTTACACATTTTCAAATGTAAAAAAAAAGAAAAAAGAAGATCTACTTTTTTTTACATACTTTCAAATGTTGAAAAAACGTAGATCTACGTTTGGACAGTTTAAGGGTTAATGGGATATGGAAGCCCCACTAAAAGAGGACAAAAAAATTTAACTAGTATTCAAAGTGATACCTAACACATCTGACTTTTCATGCTGGTAGTCTCACAAGACACTACCCCCACTACAACCTAGCAAAATATTTCATGACTAAAGTATTAAAAGTACTTCACATTAATAAAAAAAATACTGTCAGTTACACATTATCTTCCAACAAACCACTGTACTTTCATTGCCACATGTAATGCAATGTGCAATGTTCCCACCATATTTTCTGACTCTCTAAGGAATATCAAATTAATTTATTAGGCATACATGAAAAGCAAAACTAGTTACTTGCCTCGTTTCTCCTCTTCTTGCTTTTCTTGATCAATTACAACAGTTGAATGGGTGGACCACTGGTCTTCAGGAAATATCTGAACTGCCACAGTATCATCATGTAATGCACGGTTTAGGTTAAGACGACCCTGAATCAGCACTGTCTTTTCTAAACCTTCAATCATTACATTGGCTTCAAGGAAGTTAGTGCGTGATGTCTTCAATACCCCCTGCCTAAGTTTACCAGCCTATTAAAAGAAAGATTGTATAAATGAACTGTTAAATCTCCTGTGATTATTATAAAAAAGGAGAAAAATTAAATTAAATTAAGGAAATATGACTGCATGAAGTTTTCTGTGTTCACAATCCTTATCGCTGATGCTCTTTTGGACATTTGCTGGCAGGTGCAAAACTAAGTAATAACACTGAAACAAGGTACAAAAAATGAACTAGCAAGTATCCTGTTTCCAAACAATAACAATCAGGAAGAAAAGTGACTACCTCTGTTGTACATAACAGACATACAAGACTAGCTGCATAGGGGTTTTTGTTTATCTCAGGAGCACTGCACATTTGTTTACAAAATGATGGATTATTTCTTCAATGCAATAATTTTCTTTACTCAGATTTTCAGTAAAGAAAATGTCATTAACCCCTTGACTGTCGCAACCCCCAATCCTGAAGTGTCTCCTGGTGTCACAAAATTTAAAAAAAAAAAAAAAAAAATTATTTTTTCTTATGAAATGATAGAGAATCTTTTCCCGATTGTAATGACACCAAAAACATGAAATTTGATGGAAAACTGACGGAATTACACTCTCGCGAAATTAGTGACCTCGGCGATATTTACAAATCGGCGATTTCGCCCACTTTGAGCCCTATTTTTGGCTACTTCCCTTGTTCCAGTCGACCAAACTCATAACTATTTTTTTAGAAATCCATTTTTTCTATCGATTGAGTGCAAGAAACTGCCCATTTACCGATTTCAATTACCCAATACCGTGGTCAGAAATTTGCAATTTGGCCAATTTCACGAAAATTAAAAAATATGACAATTTCAAAATAAGGTCCAGAATGAACAATGCAGACATTCCTGGCTCTAAAATAACATTTTCTTTGTTCATCAGTCACGTCTCCAAGACCTCTGATATTACTCTTGCTTTCTATTTTGAATTTTTATTCAAACAAAAAATAGAAGATTTACTGTTATGCAGACTACTGTAATAATTGTATAAATAACATCAACCCATTCATGACTGCATATTAGAATGGCTAGTTGGACATTTATTGGACAATGACATCATTTGTTTACTTTTGAACATCGGCAAAAATCAAACATTTCCCCTACTTTGAGCTCCATTTCCAGGTTCTTTTTATAGTAAAATCAATCAAAATCACCTCTATTTCTATAATATGTTTTCCATTCTATCAAATGAGACCATGAAAACGAGAATACAACCATAAATACTATACGAAAATAGACCACAAAGTCGGCATTTTAATTAAAAAAAAAACGGTCGGAGTTTTTTTTCTCATTATGCACTGCATGCTCCAGGATTTTTTTTATATGGTGCACACTGACCACACAGACCCATTCTCTCACATGTGGGCCTACCAGCTTTCTCCTGCTTGATTTGAAGCCGCTAGAATTTATGAGTGTATATACGTCAAACACGGTACCTCGTAAGACGTATATATACGACCTCGACAGTCAAAGGGTTAAACTCCATGGAAAAATGGAAAAAGAATCCTTCCTCTGTAAGTCTTGTGTGTCGTAAAAGGCGACTAAAATGCCGGTAGCAAGGTACTAGTAACCCCTTCTCCTGTATATATTACTAAATGTAAAAAGAAAAACTTTTGTTTTTCTTTTTAGGTCACCCTACCTTGGTGGGAAATGGTCAATTTATTAAAAAATGTCATTAAGCAAATGATATTTGAATCATTATTTATTAATATTTTTTAATATAAAAGACACTAGTTTTTAAGTACACATATATCCACACTTATTAGAGGCAATGTCAAGACTACAAGATAATAAAAAACTTAAATAAGTTTCGAATTATGTACTTAAATAAGTTTTTGAATTACTATTATGAAAACAAATATAGTTTATAAAATAAATTAAAGCATATTATTCTTACTGGTTGACAAAACTAATTATACTATCAGTAATGATAATAACCAAGCATTATGAGACCCAACAAATACTTTCATTAGTTATCTCTATGTACTTTGCGTATCTCACTACGTAACAGTAGTTCATGTATAATTAACTTACACATAACCTCAGCATATAACACTGCTACATTAATAAAATATTCCTGATCTATGCAATTCTATTTTATCTAGCTGGGCCTTCTAGTGTACATGCAGCAATTGAAATGTTTCTATATATTACCTCCCTAAATTGGATATCTCACACTTTTTGGCTTTATATCTCACTCAACATTTCTACCAATATGCCTGGTGTTCAGAATTCCCTACTATCAAAATCTACATTACAGTACTCAAATCTGGCTTATATAGCAGCAACCAAACTATAACTTTACTTTTTCATGCACTAGACCAGAATAGCCAGTGACCTCTCAAACTTCCACCACATAGCAATTTTTCTATATGATGTACAGATCCTTCACATTTACTCTCAAGCCATCCTTCAGTTTTCTATCATCATCATATAAACCCATAACTATTTCTAATTCACAAGAGTATGTCATGAGTAAAATCTTGAGAAGATATTTTAATACCAAAGTTAAGACCAGCTGTTGTGGCCAATATGTGAGACTCAAATATTTATAAATGTTGTATGCATATGAAGTAGCACCAAACACATTTGACTAAGTAAAGCATTCAGCACCTCCCTATAAACACAAATATGACTAAACAAAGACTGAGAATGCCTAAGATAGCATATATAAAAGAGAACATGGAAGGGAAGAAACAGGGAATGGCAACGAGGGCAAGAATGGAAAATTGGTATTCAGTGAAAGGACATTGAGGAGGGTGAACAATATCAGAATCAAGTGGCACAGTAAGTGTAACTTAAGACAAAAAAAAAACATCCACAGCAGAAATTGTTTCCTGTTTATTTACCCCATTAGCAATGCTGAAATGAATGACTAAGGTCAATTATAACCTATAAACAAAATTATAAAACTTTCAGGCTACCTTGAGTGCAGCACGTATTTTTTCCAGTGACCAATGAGGTGTGTACAAGTAGTTTTGATGACTGGCATCTTCATCTTTTTCTTCTTCCACCTTGGCCACAATATCCAGTAATCAGACAATTTAAGAACTTTATAAATATTTCATACATCTGAAATATTTTATTTGCATTAAGAAAAATTTATACAGTATTTTATATCATCAAGCTGTCAATAGAGAATTGTTGCACTTCATGAATTGGCTTTTAAAAAAGGAATAATATATATATTTATGTGTGTGTTGTGTGTACAATTATAATAGATAATATCTATATATTATATATTATAATATAAATATATATAACAATTATATATATATATATATATATAGGTTTTTTTTTTTTTTCATCAAGTCGGCGTTCACTCACCGTGGCGGGTGACCCAAACAACCTAAGAAAACCAATAACCAACCGTAGGAAATAGTGTGTATTTATTTTTTCAAATTTTATCCACACTCGCCGATTCCCACCAAGGCAGGGTGGCTCAGAAAAACAGTCTTTCACCATACACCATAGCTAGAAGGTCACACAACAGTTTTAAACTGCAAACCCCATAACCCTCCTTTCAGAGTGCAGGCATTGTACTTCCCATTTCCAGGACTCAAGTCCGACTTTTGAAACCGGTTTCCCTGAATCCCTTCATAAATATTATGCTCACACTCCAACAGCACGTCAAGTATCCAAAAACCATTGTCTCCATTCACTCCTATCAACACGCTCACGCAGCCTGCTGGAATCCAAGCCCCTACCCACAAAACCTCCTTTACCCCCTCTCTCCAACCCTTTCCGAGGCGACCCCTACCCCGCCTTCCTTCCCTATAGACTTATACTCTTGCAGTCATTCTGTTGCTCCATTCTCTCTAAATGACCAAACCACCTCAACAACCCTTCCTCAGCCTCTGACAATCTTTTGTAATCCCGCACCTTCCTCCTAACTTTCCAACTCGAATTCTCTTGCATATATTTCCACCACACATTGCCCTTCAGACAGACATCTCCACTGCCTCCAGCCTTCTCCTCGCTGCAACATTTATCACCCAAGCTTCACACCCATATAAGAGCGTTGGTAACTATACTTCATACATTCCCTCTTTGCCTCCAAGACAAAGTTTTTTGTCTCCACAGATCCTAACGCACCACTCACCTTTTTTCCCTCATCAATTCTATGATTCACCTCATCTTCATAGACCCATCCGCTGACACGTCCACCCCCAAATATCTGAAAACATTCCCCTTTTTCCATACTCTCCTCCCAATTGATATCCATTTTCTTTACCTAAATCTTTTTGTTACTCCTCATAACCTTACTCTTTTCCTTATTTCACTTTCAACTTTCTTCTTTTGCACACCCTAAAATTCATCCACTAATCTTTGCAACTTTCTTCAGAATCTCCCATAAGACAGTGTCATCAGCAAAAAGCAACTGTGTCAACTCCCACTTTGATTTGATTCCCTATTTAATCCACGCCTCTTCCAACACCCTAGCATTTACTTCTTTACAACCCCATCTATAAATATATTAAACAACCAGGTGACATCACACATCCTTGTCTAAGACCTACTTTTACTGGGAAAGTATTTCCCTCTCTTCTACACACCTAACTGAGCCTCACTATCCTCGTAAAAACTCTTCACTGCTTTTAAAGTTACCTACCTCTTACCATACACTTGCAACATCTGCCACATTGCTCCCCCTATCCACCCTGTCATACGCCTTTTCCAAATCCATAAATGCCACTAAAGACCTCCCTATGCCTTATCTAAATACTGTTCACTTATATGTTCATGTAAACACCTGGTCCACACATCCCCTACCTTCTAAAGCCTCCTTGTTCATCTGCATCCTACATCTGTCTTACCTCTAATTCTTTCAATTATAACCTACCATACACTTTTCCAGGTATACTCAACAGACTTATCCCCTATAATTTTTACATCTCTTTTGTCCCCTTTCCCTTTATAAAAGGGACTATGCATGCTCTCTGCCAATCCCTAGGTACCTTACCCTCTTTCATACATTTATTAAAAAATTGACCAACCACTCCAACACTATATCCCCCCTGCTTTTAACATTTCTATCTATGATCCATCAGTTCCAGCTAGACTTTTACCCCTTTCATTTTACGTTTAAAGCCTCACTACTCCCCACACTTAAATTTGCTATTTTCACTCTAAAGATGTATATCCTCTGACCATTGATGAAATTACTCCTCTGTTTTTTCCTTAACATTTAAAAGTTCCTCAAAATATTCCGCCAAAAGTACCCAATACCTCCATCTTCCACATCTACCAACTCCCCTACTCTGTTTTTAACTGACAAATCCATATTTTCCTAGGCTTTCTTAAACTTGTTTAACTCGCTCCAAATTTTTTCTTATTTTCATTAAAATTTCTTGACAGTGCCTTCTCCACTCTATCATCTGCTCTCCTTTTGCACTCTCTCACCACTCTCTTTACCTTTCTTTTACTCTCCATATACTCTGCTCTTCTTATAACACTTCTGCTTTGTAAAAACCTCTCATAAGCTACTTTTTCTCTTTTATCACACCTTTACTTCATCATTCCACCAATCACTCCTCTTTCCTCCTGCCCCCACCCTCTATAACCACAAACTTCTGCCCCACATTCTAATACTGCATTTTTAAAACTATTCCAACCCTCTTCAACCCCCCACTACTCATCTTGCACTAGCCCACCTTTCTGCCAATAGTCGCTTATATCTCACCCGAACTTCCTCCTCCCTTAGTTTTACACTTTCACCTCCCTCTTACTTGTTGTTGCCACCTTCCTCTTTTCCCATCTACCTCTTACTCTAACTGTAGCTACAACTAAATAATGATCCTGATATATCAGTTGCCCCTCTATAAACATGTACATCTGGAGCCTACCCATCAAACCTTTTATCCACCAATACATAATCTAATAAACTACTTTCATTACGTGCTACATCATACCTTGTATATTTATTTATCCTTTTTTCATAAAATAATGTATTACTTATTACCAAATTCTTTCTACACATAGCTCAATTAAAGGCTCCCCATTTACATTTACCCTGGCACCCCAAATTTACCTAACTACTCCCTCCATAACATTTTACCCACTTTAGCATTAAAATCCCCAACCACCATTACTCTCACACTTGATTCAAAACTCCCCACGCATTCACTAAACATTTCCCAAAATCTCTCTCTCTCCTCTACACTTCTCTCTTCTCCAGGTGCATACACGCTTATTATAACCCACTTTTCACATCCAATCTTTATTTTGCTCCACATAATCCTTGAATTAATACATTTATAGTCCCTTTTTCCTGCCATAGCTTATCCTTCAACATTATGCTACTCCTTCTTTAGCTCTAACTCTATTTGAAACCCCTGACTAATCCATTTATTCCTCTCCACTGAAACCTCCACCCCCTTCAGCTTTGTTTCACTTAAAGCCAGGACATCCAGCTTTTTCTCATTCATAACATCCACAATCATCTCTTTCTTATCATCTGCACAACATCCACGCACATTCAAGACTTCCACTTTGACAATTTTCTTCTTCTTATTCTTTTTAGTAATCTTTACAGGAAAGGGGTTACTAGCCCATTGTTCCCGGCATTTTAGTTGACTTTTACAACACGCATGGCTTACGGAGGAAAGATTCTTATTCCACTTCCCATGGATATAAAAGGAAAATTAATAAGACCAAGAAACTATTAAGATAAAATCAAAGAAAACTCAGATGAGTGTGTATAAATAAATGTGTACATGTATGTGTAGTGTTGACCTAAGTGTAAGTAGAAGTAGCAAGACATGCCTGTAATCTTGCATATTTATGAGACAGACAAAAGACATCAGCAATCCTACCATCATGTAAACAATCACAGGCTTCGTTTTACACTCACTTGGTAGGACGGTAGTACCTCCCTGGGTGGTTGCTGTCTACAACCTATACAATAAATATATATATATTATATATTCTTTTTCTTTCAACACACCGGCCGTATCCCACCGAGGCGGGGTGGCCCAAAAGGAAAAACGAAAGTTTCTCCTTTTACATTTAGTAATATATACAGGAGAAGAGTTACTAGCCCCTTGCTCCCGGCATTTTAGTTGCCCTCTTACAACACGCATGGCTTACGGAGGAAGAATTCTGTTCCACTTCCCCATGGAGATAAGAGGAAATAAACAAGAATAAGAACTAGAAAGAAAATAGAAGAAAACCCAGAGGGGTGTGTATATATGTGCTTGTACATGTATGTGTAGTGTGACCTAAGTGTAAGTAGAAGTAGCAAGACGTACCTGAAATCTTGCATGTTCATGAGACAGAAAAAAAGGACACCAGCAATCCTACCATCATGTAAAACAATTACAGGCTTTCGTTTTACACTCACTTGGTAGGACGGTAGTACCTCCCTGGGTGGTTGCTGTCTACCAACCTACTAATAAATAAATAAATAAAATTATATATATATATATATATATATATATAATATATATATATATTATATATATATATATATATATATATATATATACCGTGGTTGTTTAATATATTTATAGATGGGGTTGTAAGAGAAGTAAATGCGAGGGTCTTGGCAGAGGCGTGGAGTTAAAAGACAAAGAATCACACACAAAGTGGGAGTTTGTCACAGCTGCTCTTTGCTGATGACACTGTGCTCTTGGGAGATTCTGAAGAGAAGTTGCAGAGATTGGTGGATGAATTTGGTAGGGTGTGCAAAAGAAGAAAATTAAAGGTGAATACAGGAAAGAGTAAGGTTATGAGGATAACAAAAAGATTAGGTGATGAAAGATTGAATATCAGATTGGAGGGAGAGAGTATGGAGGAGGTGAATGTATTCAGATATTTGGGAGTGGACGTGTCAGCGGATGGGTCTATGAAAGTGAGGTGGAATCATAGAATTGATGAGGGAAAAAAGAGATGAGTGGTGCACTTAGGAGTCTGTGGAGACAAAGAACTTTGTCCTTGGAGGCAAAGAGGGGGAATGTATGAGAGTATAGTTTTACAACGCTCTTATATGGGTGTGAAGCGTGGGTGATGAATGTTGCAGCGAGGAGAAGGCTGGAG